CCCTGCTAAAGCTTTCAGAGGATTCATTTGGTCTGTTCCTGTCCATCTCTCCAACTTCTGACAATGTCAGTTGTAAACACAGTTCTCCTATGAACTCAAGGCAGACAGCTCCTCACATCAGTCTGCAGCTCTGTTATGCTACTTCATTAGCCTTTAGAATAATTAAAATCACCATTTCCATACAAGAAATATAATTAAAATAAGAGCAGAGACATTGTCTTGTGGGTGGATTTCTTATATCCAAGGCTCACTCATTTACACATTGCAAAATAACCTGAAGCATCCTAGATGAGCAGAGGGTGCTCAACTTTGGTCTCTTTTTTATTGCAAAAATGGCTGTAATTCCCCAGTGTTATAGTCTGCAATGAAGGCACCTGATTCATCATCAGCAAATTATTTTTGGTTTTAATAAGCAGTTATGCTAAAGAGTGAGAAAGCTATTGTATAAAGTTTTTTTGCTGTTAAAATGTTATTCTTAGGGAAATCCTTATCATTAAAAACTGCCTGAGAAGCATATTAATGTAAACAGCTTCAACAAATCATGTATCTTAATTGGATAGGATGAAAAAAAAGTGGGGGCAGGGAGTGCTGGATTGTACAAAGTATGCTTGATTTTCTTAATCATCAACCCTGTTGATTAGAGTCCTCCAGGACCTTTTATTAACAGAAACCTTGCTCTGCATGATCTCTTATTTTCTTTTCCTGCCATTTGTGTGACCCTCGTTGTTCCAGTGGAGTAACAACCCAGGCACACACAGATGTAAAAATCTTCAGGAGTACACTGATAGCCAAAAGCAACTGAACCTTGTCAGCCCACGTGTGTCAGCCTTGCTTCTCTTGCATGTGCATGGTTCCCCAGGACAACTGCAGCTGCGTGTGCAGAGACATTGCAGAAGGAAAAACTCAACAGTTTGGATGAACTGTGTTTTGAGAAGGAAGAGAAACTTTCCAGTGTTTGAACCACCAATGTGTCTGCCATTGTGGTTACTGGGAGGTGATAACTGTGAGCTTGGACAGCCAAAAAAGTGACAGATTGTGGTAACTCTGGTGTAAGGCCAAATGCAGCTGTGATTGGAAAAGGATAACAAGACAGGGAAAAGGCAAGAAATGGCAAAGGCCAATGCATCCCTGCTCTACCTAGGAAGGGAAGGGTTAGATTTCCAGTAAATCTTAACTTGCTCATCAGTTCAAATGCAGCCTTTCCTAATTTTGAAGAGGGCCAGATTTATAAGCAGTGCAAGATTTTCCTGTTCTGATGTAAATGTTGTTTCTCATTCTCATAAGTAATTCAAAATTAATGATGTTCCATTATATTATATGTCGGACAGAGATACTTGGAATGCATAATTTCTTCAGTCTACAAGTCTACAAAGCACAAAGTCTAATGATTTATTCCATCACATGCCTTTCCAATTATGTTCTGATCTTCTGTTTCAATTGCTAAGGAACTGAACCCAAGTTATTTTAAAGCCTAGATTTATGCTTAAGTTGGCAATAAGCCTTCCAAATGAAATACAAAAAAATTAAAAACCTGATGTTGTTTGGGATGCATCCTTCCAATTTTTGTCCATGGAAGACCAAAAACCTTGTAACTTTACAGATGCCATAAGAAAAAATAATGTCATTCCCCAGCCTGTATTAACCCTGACAGAGACTTGCCTTAACATTTTGACTGAGTGTTATGACTACTAAAACATTACTTTTTTACACAGCAGTGTGGAATTCTTTGTCTCTCTCTATGGTTTTGACCTGAACCAATCCAAAATAAAACAAAGATATTGTGTGTACTACTATGAAGAGTTCAGTTTCAATGCATTATTTTTTTTTTTTTTCCGCAAAATCCTTTCCCTTTAGACTTCATTATATTTTGTATTTATTTCCTTCAAAATCATCTTTTCTTTGAGGAAGTAGGGGTCATTAGGATATAAAGATCACTTTGAAACATCACTATTTCAATGAGTGCAAAAATAAGTGTGGAACCCCATCTACATTTTGTTCAATGTCTTTCCCTTCTTTAAAGCTTATAGCGTACTTTAAAATCTACAGAAACTTGTTATGGGCAGAAGAAAATTGTATATAGCACGTTTAAAAGCAGCAGTTCTTTTAGCATTCCAGTGCACAGAGTTGTATTTACTGTATTTGAGATCAATATAACTTGAGTTGTTATATTGCTTAAGTAGCAGAAAAAATTGTTTAAGTAGTAGAAACCTTCATTAATTTTGAGACTATATAACCATGCAAAAATTTCTAATGGTTCTAGAAATTGAATAAACAGAGGAATAAAGGAAGGAATAAAAGAGATATTTCACATTGTTTCCTCAAGAAAAATCTTATACTCTTACTCCACCCACAAAAAAAAATTTGGGAAAATATATTTTTGCTCTTTTTCTCTCCCAAAATATATGTATCACCAAGAAGTTTCTCTTTTTAGTACAGGTGTTTCTGTGAGAGAAAAATCTGATTTCTGTCTCTAACACACAAAGGCACCATGTAGTACACAGACTCTCAGAAACGTGCTTTCAGCACACAATAAATTTTCTCATCTTTGTCTCACTGACAAGCATAGCACCTAGTAATGGCTAACAATAGTACGGGTGATAAGTGCAAAACTGCATAGCACTGGTAGGAACCAGAAGAGGAAACTTTCAAAAAAAATAGCCTCTTTCCAACTCCTACCAGCAGTTTTGCGGTACTATTTGAACTGTCCTGAAGCTGTGGACTGTCCTTCCAGGATCGTTGAGTACTTTTTGTCCTTGCCAGTTCCCCATCAAGAGGCCCTGCCAGGGTTGGAGTACAGGAGAGGACACACTCCCGTGTGTGTGGATCAGCTCCTGGAAGGTGCCTGGGACAATTTCACTGCACTTACAAAGCACATCGCCCATCTGCACACACCAAATGTTTCCCAGGGAAACAACAAACCTTATTCAAATGAAGTGTGATTAAATTTCAACAAGAAAAGGGTTTTATTGGAAGCTAAGAATTTTTCATGCTTCTCAGATCTCCCTTCCTTCAGTTACCTTTTACCCTATCCCAAAGAAACTTCCTTAGGAGAATCAGATGCAGGAATGACCTGGATGCCTGCCATCAACCCTCATAAATTCAGAGGCATCATCTAACAATGTGTAAACCAGATTTGACAATTCATGATTTAACTACCACTATAAAAGTGCTAGTTAAATAACTAAAATACGTATTCTTCCTTTTTTTCCAGTTGGCTTCCTGTCCATTTTATTCTTGGCCTACACAGAATTTCCTACAAGGAAATGTACCACAGGATAGCCAACTATTAGGAATTATTGTTAGTATATGGAGAATTTTTTCAGTTTTAGTACATAATCCTTTCTGAAGTTGTGCAATAACACTGCCCATGGAATTAAGCTGAAGTTTCTTGTAGTGGAATAAAAAGAAAAGTTTAAATAATCACACGCATTTTTTCCATGTGTTATTTTCTAATAAAAAATGTGGCATTTTCTTCAGCCACGTTTTAGCAGAGGGATCTTATTCTACTTTTGGGACTTAAGCATTCAATATGGGATTTACTAAACCAAAAATGAAGACACTGAAGAAGGTACTGAAAGTGCTTTCAGGGTAATGTAGGTACACAAGCTGACATGTTTTAGGAAGGAATACTATGTTTTCAAATTGTTCTATGACAGCAAAAGCAATTAAGTCCACAATGTTTCAGTGGACTGCCACTAATCATAATCTAGTAAAGAACCATTACATGGCACAACATAAATAATGCCATTTGTTCAGGTAAATTAATGCCTGAGTTGACACATTGGCTTGTAGAGTTGTAGGATCTCACAGTCTAAAAGTATTCAAAGTGTTTATTGGTGAAATGTCAATATTGGATCAACCCTAGCCTTGCAGATATTCCTTTATTTAATTCATTTGCTGTGCTTTCTTACTGGTACCACACTAATCCTCATTTTGCAAGAATAACAAATTAATTGGCTGACAAGGAACAACTTACTTCTGGACACAGAAATACATTGGGCTGCCAAATAAAACACGACTTCCATCCTTTTGCTCTTGATGGGCTGTTTAAGAAACTCCATCAAGTACTTGTCTCCTTTTGTGAACAGACAGATTTTTATTTTGTCATTTCAAAACACATGACTTTGTGATGGTATTCCAGCAGAGTATCTAAGTTTGTCATTCCATACAGTGTGTATGTACTATCCCTGCATATTATTGAGCTGCAGATCTCCCTAGGGTGTGGAGCTGAATTGTGCTCCAAGATCTATTACTGCACTGTTACCTCACTGTTGGGACGAAAATTTTTTTAGAATAAAAATTGCATAAATACATGTTGATGCTTTTAAAACAGACAATCTTAAAGAAGATTCTAATGAGAAAGAAAAGCAGGCCAAACAAGCAAGGCAAAATTTCTAAGTGCTTTCATTCACAGGTTGTCCAGGGAAAGTTATGCCTAGGATGGGCATTAATTTATTGCCTTACAAACAATTACATACCCGTTGTATGTAATTACACCTGCAGGTACCTTAACCTACTGCTAGGAACAGACTGATTTCGCAACTCATAATCTCAGTTACTTCACCTGTATATTGCAGCAATGAGAATATGTCTCCCAAAACTTTTAGCCTTTAAACTAAGAACTAATTTTATGGAAGTGGATATGGAACATTTTTACTAGCTGTGTAGATTACCTGTGCTCTGATGCTCTACATCCAAAGTCTTTGAGTATTTTGCTATGATATTTTTGGTGTATTATTCAGTGCTTAGGTGTTTCATATTTAGTAGCCAATCTTAGGTGATACTTAGTGTTACTCAGGTTAGGCTTAGACCTTTCACTGTGAAGCTCTGGGGACTGTGTGCTGTTTGTAGATGTGTAACCATCCTGGGGAACAGGATCCCAAGTTTGGCTTGGGGTATTCAGATGCTCAAGATTGTCAGACACAACAGAAGTGATAAGTTTGCTGTTGCTTAAGTGTTGGCTATATGTAACAGGCATTTTACCTATTTGCTTTTTCTAGGAGTTTGTCATGATTGTTGTCTTTGGTTTGGAATTTATTATTCGTATCTGGTCTGCTGGGTGCTGCTGTCGTTACCGAGGATGGCAAGGAAGACTGCGCTTCGCAAGGAAACCATTCTGTGTGATAGGTGAGTGTCCCAGCTCTAGCTTATTTTGAGATAAACATCTTCCCTCTCCTGTTTTGTTTCTGAATGAAAACTATTGGAATCAGACTCTATTTAGAGCAACCAGCTGTAAGTCCAGAATAGCTGTGTGTCAACTCTCATCTGCCCAGAGTTTCTTTAGATACAAATCGTGACATCCCTAAAAACCAGCCAGTCCGTATTTCTTATGTTCTCCAGAAGACATTTTCCTACGAATCTCATAGAGCTGGTCTATTTGTTGGACAAATGAGGGGCTGAGAGCTGATCTCATTGAAAATCAGAGGAGATGCATGCTTTGAATAGACACACTACATCTTGTACATACATGCATAGATACCACACACGCACGTGTGCATATCATGTTCGTCTTATTTAACCTCTGTGATCAGACACTGCAAGTTTGAAAACCTCCCTAGAGACATCTTCTGACAACATTGCTGCTTCCTGTGCGGGTGTTCTCTGCATGAGAGACCACATATCAGCTCTGCAGTGACACTATCATAGGCTACATTATCTTCTTCATTATTTCTTCTACATCTATTTCAAGATGCTATTCCTTCCCTTCTTTGCTCTAGAATTTGTCTGTGACAATGGTGAATAGACTCACTACCAGTCAAAACCCTATTCTGAAAAGGGATCTGCAGGAAAACAGTTGCCCAATAAAGGCAGAATTCAAAGATCAAACTCATCTGATAATTTCTTATTTTTCTAATGGTTTAGAGAAAATGCTTTTTACAGATCATCTGTGAAACTTCAGGATATCAATATCCCAACTTCTCTCTCAACTTCCTTTCTCTCTCCAGCCTTTAATTTCATCTGCCTATATTTCAGTACAACTTATGGATCAGCTGGGGTAGGAAATATGTTCTTCCCTACATCTCTACAGCAGCTAGTACATGGAGTCAGTCATATGCTTAGAGCCATGAAACACATGGGTTTCAGTGCAAGAAGTAGATGAATGCCATCCTGGTCTAAACAGGAGTTACACAGTGTTCCTTGGCATGGCAGACCAGTACACTGGTTAGGCCTAACATGTTGAGCAAGTTTTTTTCCTTCCACCTCACTCCCTGGTAAATCCACACTTTGTCGCACTAAGCCACTCCTGCAATGGAGAAATTTGCATGAGCAGCTAGGGAAGGCACCCAGGTTGTCCCCCCTCAGAAAGAAACACCCCATCTATGCTCTTTATGAAACTGTGGGAGAGGGGCAAGTATCAGGATTGGTATTTGGTTTTTTGGGCAGCAGGGAAGGTGGTAGATACCTTGCCAGGTCACACACTTGCCCCAAGATTTCCATGCCTAGCAGAAAGTGGAAATCACAAAACATGGCTACCTTCCTTAACCAGACTTACCATTATTCTAAGATTTTATGGTGCACTAGAAATTTTGCAGGATTCAGGTTTTGTCAGGGCACAATCATAAGAAAGCACCACTGTTAATTCAGTAAAGTTAACTTACTATGGCAATTTAGAACTTACTAAAAACACCTTTGAAGATTTTGAAGTTACAAGAACCATTTGACTTCCCAGAGTGTTTCTTTTGCTACTCTTCCAAATGCCATTGTATAGAAACACCAGCAGTTTGTTTGATTCTGCTTTTGTGTCTCCTCCCTTTCCTGACTCCACTCAACTGCCAAGCTTTATACCAGTGATTAATTTCACTCTGAGATGTTAATTCTCAGCAAAACTGAATGCAGAAGTTCTCCTTTGTACAAAGTTCTGCATATTTAAAAGATGTAGATGTGATGCTTAGGGACATGGTTCAGGGGTGGACTTGCCAGTGCTGAGTTTACAGTTTGACTCAATGATCTTAAAGGTCCTTCCCAAACTAAATAATTCTGTGATTCAGAGGGGGACTGTACAGATTTCCATGTCTTCCCTAAAACTACTCATATCTACCCTCTTAATGTTGGTGAAATAGTTCAAGCAGGTCTTCTGGCACAGATCACCCTGGGGGTGTGGGTTTGCCTCACTTGATTATGGTATTTCCTCCTTTCTATGAAATTCGCCTGCTCTTCTTGTTTCATCTATTTTTATGTAAGCAGTCCCTGGCCTTAAAAGCATCATTCTGTCCCACTTGGAACTCTATCACTTGCTAGCAGAATTAATTAGCAGACAACAGTCTATTGCTTGTGGATGTCTTCCTATGCTGGTGCACTGGATGGAAAGGCAACTTTGTTCTGCAACTTCGGGAAACTAAACCAATAGCTTGAATTTCTTGCCATTGACTGTTCTGCATGTCTCTTCTTCTGTTCATTGACTTGAGTCCTTTTCTGGGCTTTAGCATCCCAGAAGGGAGTTTCTGATGTTCTGATATTCGGCATCTTTCCAAATTTGATCTTTTGAGGAAAACCAAGTCACCTTGCATCTCTTGCAACATAAAGTAGTATTTGCCTGACGCCTTGGCTTTGCAGTCATGGCAAAGTGTGAGGCAGCAGCAAAGGTCAGGAGGCTGTGTTAGCCAGAGCACAATCAATAGATTATTATCTCCCATTGCTCATTGCTCGTTAGACCATATCCAAGATACTGCACCCCATTTTCCCCCTCCAACACCATACCTCGAAGGCCTTAAAAAACTGGAGTGAGTTCAGTGAAGCCATGAGGATGATCAGTGCTGGAGCAGGTTGCCCCGTGAGGAGAGGCTGAAGGACCTGTACATGTTCATCCTGGAGAAAAGATGGCTTCAGGGGGAACTCAATGAAATTGGTGCTCAGGTCTCCCTAAGAGAGATTCCATGGCCAGTTTGGGCCCATTACTTTTAATTATTTACTTAGTCTTCCATTCAATTATTCTTTCCGTTTATTGTTACAGTGGAACAATAATATTTTAGAAGACTTAGTCTGTTTACTATTAATTAAACTTGCTGTAGATCTCTGGCAGATCTTTTCCCTGATTATTTTTTTTGTGATTAAAAACAAATCACATAGGGCAGTGGCCTAAGGGCTAGAAATAACAAATTTGAGGATTGCCCCAAAGGTAACATTTAGACAGCCTTTTTTTTTCCATTAATAACCTAATAACCAGAGAAGTTTTATTCAGGGCCAAAGCTCTGTGTTTATGTTAGTGTGCCTACAATGTCACTACTCTGACAAATTTAGTTCATCAAGCATCATTGTGTGCTACCAGGTTAGTAATTACATCTATCAAATTATTTGTCAGTTTTGTACCCTTATTTATTTCTGTAAAAATGGAAATAGCAGTGTAGTATTAAAACTTGCTTTGTATTTTCTCCCTTGTTACCTGACATCCCTCATTTTCTCTGATTTGTGTACATTATATAAAGGGCATGGCAACGCATCCTTACAGGCATGTAAGGTACTTAAAAATATATATATCCCTGCAAATCTTAAATGTCACAGGTATATCACTCTGAAGCTTGGCTGCTAGCACTGCAGAACAGCGTTGCTGTGTTGTACTGCTCAGAAGGGCAGCAATCCAAGCAATGCACATTCTAACTGCTCTCTGGAGCCTCTGGAGATCAAAGATGCTGGCAAACCAGGAAGAGCTTGATGCCTGTCCCTTAGCTCACTGAAGATCCTGAAAATAAAATAGAACAAGTCTACATGGGAAGATATATGGCATCCACTCCCTGTAAAGTGGGACACTGAAATAAATGAAGAGTCCATTGTCCTTCCTCCGGCCATGGGCTTCCAGATGATGGTATGTTACCTGGCAAAATTAAATTTCTGGCCACTCTCCTGTGTGTATCAGGGGATTTACCATAATCCTCTGATACACATATCACAGACTGAGTGACATCTCAGTCCGTGAGGGCAGCTTCCATTTGGGGCACTGTAAAAATATTTAGGAATAATAAACAACAAACTCTTGGTCAGAAGAGTAAGATCCTTCTGGTCTCACCTGCAGGTCTGAAGTCCACTGAGCTTTCAGAGGAACTTCTCTCCTCCACTGATTCTGTAAGAGACTTTGAAACTCATATGTGAGAAAGCCCAACAAGAGCAAGTGAATTTTTAACATAGAATCATAGAATATCCTGAGTTGGCCCGCGGGGATCATCAAAGTCCAACTCTTGGCCCTGCACAGCACCACCCCAAGTCACACCCTGTGCCTGAGAGCACTGTGCAAACACTTCTTGCACTCTGTCAGGCTCAGAGCTGTGATCACTTCCCTGAGGAGCCTGTTCCAGTGCCCAAACACCCTCTCGGTGAAGAATTTTTCCTGATATTCAACCTAAACCTCCCCTAACATATCTTCAGGTCCTGTCTCTGGTCACCACAGAGCAGAGATCAGTGCCTGCCCCTCCTCTTCCCCTCACGAGGAAGCTGTAACTGCAGTGAGGCCTCCCCTCAGTCTCCTCCAGGCTGAACAGACCCAGTGCCCTCAGCCTCTCCTCACAGCTTCCCCTCAGGGCCCTTCACCAACTTTTTTGCCCTCCTTGGACATTCTCCAATAGTTTAATGTATTTCTTACATTGTGGCATCCAGAACTGCCCCCAGCACTGGAGGTGAGGCTGCCCCAGTGCAGAGCAGAGCAGGACAATCCCCTCCCTTGCCTGGCTGGAGATGCTGTGCCTGCTGCCCCCAGGACAGGGTTGGCCCTCCTGGCTGCCAGGGCACATTGCTAACTCTAATGTCTAAACTTTATTCAATTTAAATTTGGGGGTGGAAACTCCTATTACAGAATTTTTCACTTTAAATTTGAGCGTACTTCTAGTAATATTACATTTCTCCAGGGCAACTACACTTCCTGGTGGTCCAGCCGAGTGAAAGATTTCATGTATTTCAGTTAGTCCATAAGCAGTTTCACCACAGCTGCTTCTATTTTACCTCTAGTCAAGCTACGGTATGATGGAAATGTCAAAAGTTCAAATTTTGTTGAGGCTGCAGAATGAGCAAATTCCCAACAGGAAGCTTAAGTCCATTATCTGTAATCAGGCCCTTGAACTTCATGGCTGGCAAACCTTGTTTCAGAGCATTAAGTGATAGCAGTGACTGTTGCTTATTACTGGATCTATTTTTCATTAATT